TGGACTGGTTCCAGATACAAATTCGTAATTTAAAATATATCAATTACTTTTTCATAGCATTTTATAAGAAATACGTTTTCAATAAGATCTAGAACTCTTCATACACAAAAATTGTTTTAATTGTATTTCAAGAAAAATGTCACCCTTAACACATTTTGGAAAGAGCCTAGCTATGCGAAGTAATCTATACGGCTTACATTTCCCACGCAAAGACTTCAAACTTCATCTTCAGTAATCTGAATGTAAACAAGTTATCTTATAACAGATGTACTCTACAAATCATTCATCCAGAAACCCAATCCAACTGCATGACTTTCCCATGCACTGCCTACAGGTCCTTGAGGAGTGCTGGAACAAGACAATGCTTCGCAATGCTTTCATCTACAGTTTTATATTGAAGCAGTATTTCTTTCAAGAACAAGGTGGGAAAAAGAGCAACGAATACTTATTTTCCCACTTAAAGTGCTGGCAAAGTACAGGTTTCTGACAAATATCAGTAGATTTTAGTGTGTATTACTTCTCTGAAATATTTTAATTAAAACAAAATCAGATCTTATCCAGATGAAAAAATTGAATATTAACGTTCCATTTTAAAAAAAAAACAAAAAAACTTCAAATTATTTAAAACTTTCCCAGTGAAACCTACTATTCCTATCCTACTCTTCCTATATATATATATGTATGTATGTGTATATATATATAAACTACCTCCTATATGAAGAAATTACACAACTGCATTCCAAAGAAGTTCTAAAGGACCTCTAATCTCTTTGTAAATGTATTCTAGCTTATCCTTGCTTGAATATTATAAAAAAATAGGCGAATTCTTGCCTGTTCAGATTAAATCAATGTGAAACTAATTTACTGTTTTCTCATTAAGACCTCCATCTTATTCAACATAAATTGCTCTCTTACTCAACCGTATATTCTCAACCAGGTACACACCACACACATTTTCCCTCACTGTTTATTAAATAACAAATATATACTGTAGCCTGAAGTTTTCCCTGGGAACTGAAAGTCTGAATGGTTTTGCTTGTAATTTTCATGGTAATAGCCCATCATTCCTCATTACCTTACACTTTCAACCTGTCTTCATTGCTTCTAGCACAATTTTTATGACTTGCTAACCAGGGTGAGTTCTACATCTCTGTGTAGAGACTCTTCTTCTTTTTTTTTTTTTTTGAAAATGATGGAAGCAAAGCTTAAACAACATTGCTACTGAGAAAGAAATCTTATCCTAAACTTGCCTTGAATACCTGAAATGGATTCACTTCTACTTTCTACTTAGATTTTTAAGAGAGGAAAAATTAGAAGTCCCTTGAAGAAGTCCCTTGAAGTCCCTTGAAGAAGTCCCCATGCTTTGAAACATGCAATATTAAAGCTGAATTTTGAGGAAGAAAATCAATGGAAAAACTTAAAAATTGTGCATACTAACAGTTTCGCTTCTAAAGCATTCTTTCTTTTTATGTACTGAAGAATTCCAGTAATTCCTTGAATACAGGGAAAAAATAATTTTTCTTGGGAATATAAAATTTTATTATATATCCATGTCATAGCCTACAACCACCACAATAATGGAATCTTTAACAGACTGTAGAACTGTGACAAAGGGCAGAGAACACTTCAAGAGGCTCTTAAACAAATTGTAAGGAGAAAATCAATTATAAAGACTTTAATGCTAAGTGATAGAGAAATTAGCATGGGTAATGAAGAAAAAGTTTTTTAAGACAAGTTCCAGCAAGTTAATGTACATCACTAACACAGTATCTCTTACTCTGACATACTCAGAAAACCATCTGAGAGATTTTTAATGTCTCTTAATCGTAATGAAGGTTAAATTCTATGGCTGCCCACCTTTAGTCAAAAATAGATGTTCAAACTGGTTAACATAACAGAAGATACAAGTATTTATAGAAATCCAGCATGTTCTATAAGCACTCCAATATACTTCAAAGCAATTTTTACATGAAATATAATAATAAGCTGAAATGCAAGATGTAAAAACTTGAAAAGCCTTTCAAAACTTTTCTGGAAAAAAACAGGTAAATATGGAAATAAAAACTGTTTTGCACAGTGGCTCTTATATTTCATTACAATTATATTTTCTTTTTACTTTTCTCCAAAGGTTTCTATAAAAGGTGCTTACTTACCTTATATTCAAAGGCTTACAAGTAGAACATGCTACTGGATAGAATCATAGAAATCATAGAATCATAGAATCGATTGGGTTGGAAAAGACCTCCGAGATCATTGAGTCCAACCCTTGGTCCAAATCCAGTCATTTACTAGATCATGGCACTCAGTGCCACGTCCAATCTGCGTTTAAAAATCTCCAGGGATGATGAATCCACCACCTCTCTGGGCAGCCCATTCCAATGCCTGATTACTCTCTCTGTAAAGAATTTTCTCCTGATATCCAACTTAAATTTCCCCTGGCAGAGCTTAAGCCCGTGCCCCCTTGTCCTATTGCTGAGTGCCTGAGAGAAGAGACCAACCCCCACCTGGCTAGAACTTCCCTTCAGGTAGTTATAGACGGTGATGAGGTCACCTCTGAGCCTCCTCTTCTCCAGGCTAAACAACCCCAGCTCCCTCAGCCTCTCCCCATAGGACTTATGCTCCAGTCCCTTCACCAGCCTTGTTGCTCTTCTCTGGACCCGCTCCAGCACCTCAATATCCTTTCTGAACTGAGGGGCCCAGAACTGAACACAATACTCAAGGTGTGGCCTCACCAACGCAGAGTACAGGGGAAGGATCACTTCCCTGCTCCTGCTGGCCACACTATTTTTGATACAGGACAAGATCCCATTGGCCTTCTTGGCCACCTGGGCACACTGCTGGCTCATGTTGAGCTTCCTGTCAATTAGTACCCCCAGGTCCCTTTCTGCCTGGCTGCTTTCCAGCCACTCTGTGCCAGCCTGTAGCGCTGCAGGGGGTTGTTGTGGCCAAAGTGCAGGACCCGGCACTTGGCTTTATTGAACTTCATCCCATTGGAATCAGCCCATCTCTCAAGTCTATCCAGATCCCTCTGCAGAGCCCTCCTGCCTTCCAGCAGGTCGACACTCCCTCCCAATTTGGTGTCATCAGCAAATTTGCTGATGATGGATTCAATCCCCTCATCTAAATCATCAATAAAGATGTTAAACAGGACTGGACCCAACACAGACCCCTGGGGAACACCACTGGTGACCGGCTGCCAGCTGGATGCAGCTCCATTCACCAGCACTCTCTGGGCCCGACCCTCCAGCCAGCTCCTAATCCAGGAGAGGATACACTTGTCCAAGCCATGGGCTACCAGCTTTTCCAGGAGTAGACAATTATTTTCACTTTATTTTAGGTAGTACAAGAGAAAGCAAGTTTCCATTTTTCTGAACAGAAATTTAGTGGCTATCTTCACTGCTATTGATAAGACATGTCTATATCCTGAAATGGCATTTCATCAATGGTCTTAACATCAAACAAGAATCAAATGTCCTTTCAAATGCCTCATCAGCTCATTTTTTTTACTGAGATTCAAGTTCCTGTCATTCAGAGGAGTTAGGAAAGATTAGTGTTAAAACAGACATTATCGTTTTTTTCTCATTTAAAGTCTAAGGCAGTTATTTCTTTTTCCTGTAATTTTGAAAGCATAAGAATGCATTTCTCTAAAGCAGTAGCACATATTCAGTGCATGGTATGTTCATCACTGGCATAAAATATATAGTATTTGGAAAGGCAGCACACTGAATAATTCAGTGACGATACCTATCAGTTTCATGGATGGTGATAAATCCAGGAAATGCTACACTTCTACAGCATTTGTGGCATGGAAATTGCACTTAGTACCTCAACCAGCAACCAACATTACTTTCTCCATTTCATCTTCTTTGTACTCTTATGAGGTTGATTCCTATATTCTGGAGCTGCTCCTTCTCTCTTGTACATTAGAGAGAATTCCTAGTGTGTCATCCTAGATTCTTGCCTATGGCTATTTTTTTCCTTTTGCTCCCTTCTCTTTCCACATTCCTCCTTCCTACTCTTTCCCAGATTCTTAACATTTTCCCCTTACCAAATGTCTTTCCTCTGCAATATGGTTGTCACTTAGACCACAGTTTTCCCACACCTTCCTTACATCCTTCAAATTCTACCCGCCAGCCTTTACTGCAGAACGCCAGTTAGGATCCCACTGCAGATTGCAAGGACCAGTCTCTCAGCTACACCTTCTACGTAATGGAGAGACAGAAGGGAGCAAGGAAGAAACTATGGCAGGCATGGGGCAGACTGGGAAACAGAGGAACATGGAAGGGAAAACAGGATTTCTCCCTGCAGATGTAGCAAGAAACTTAGGCTTAGCCTACCTCGTAGACTTGCACCTTCAGAAGGCAACGTTTCGTATGTATGAGCAAGGCTGAAATGGGCAAGCCAAGGAGTCAGACGCTACAGAACAGAAACTTCTAGTTACACCCACATGATTTGACGTGTGACATGATCCTGTTCATCTGACTTGTAGCAGTCAAGAAAAAGGGTTTCCCTCCCAGCTGGCAGGGTGCTCCTCTGAGTCTGACAAATGACATCAACTGGTTCTCGGGAGCAGAAGAGGTGAAAGCAGTTGCCTTCTGTGGTGTCCCAGTTTTCTCTTGCCAGCTACACCTTTTCCTCCCCATGAGTCCCATCTGGAGGGCAGTAGGGTCTGCAGTCTCCTCTCACAGAAATGGTGTGGCCCACACTGCCCATCGACACTATGCCATACATCAGCACATTCAGGTAACTGATAACAGCATCAGCTGTATTGTCTGAGACAGTTTCTAACCATCTGTTACCAATGGAGTTCTGAACACCACCTGTTTAAGTCTCAAATTTCAACATTCAAAGCTTCCCAGGTCATTTTCTATGCAGCCGTAGCATATATTCCAACTAAACCTTCACTTTCATGGATTTTGGAAAATACTCATTTCCTGAGCAATTATGATATCAAAACATGAGCCCCCCCCAACCCGGTCCTACTGCTGATCTATTCTTACCTGCATCCCTCTCATTTTCTGGAACCGAGCTACTGCATCACTGATGGTGTAGACACGAACATGGCCCATGTGAAGCTTCCCAGAAGGATATGGGAACATAGAAAGCACATAAAATTTTGGTCTTGATTTCTAGAAAGAAATTTTTAGAAACTAGTAACTACATGAGTTAGCATTTCACTTGAATAAATACATGTGCACATTATAACTACAAGGTATCATGAAGAGAAAGAAGGTTCTGCTGGAACTGATCCAAGTAATCACTGATAAAGCTCATTGGATCAAATTCTTTGGGCCCTAAATGGAGGTGTTTTACCAGACTTTGCCACCAACTCATCAATTCCTATTCACATTTATACAGCACTGGGATATTATGAAAATTAATTAACTTATAATCAACAAAAGATATATTAACAGAATTGAAGCTTAACCGATCACCATTCCCTACCAGAGTATCTGCAACTGATGATCTAAGTGCTCTTAATCTGCCCCACAAAAAAAAAATGAAAACAAAGCAGATTAAATTTTCTTCATAACAGCTTAAATAATTAATGTTTTACTTCGTATCTACAACAAATACAGAACTCACTCTTGGTCAGTTATTTCTTGTCAGCTGAACTGCAGTTAACTCGGAGTGACTAAATCATTAGCAACTGCATGAACACCCACTAAATTTAAACTGTTCAGTTTCACTACGTATGCTCAGATCCATAAACATCTTACAAGCAGTATCTTACATAATAAAAAGTAAAAATTTCATTTAGTTAGGTTTGAGTAAAATGACAAAAGTTACAAAGAAATCAAACATTATCTCTCACATCAATTATTCCTAATACATCTGGATTACCATTGATTGAATTTATCACTGATACCACTGATGCTTGATAAGTTCATACGTTATTCTTCTTATGTTAATAATGAAAAAAATTACGGGCAGCTTTTACTATTCCAAATAAAACTCTATTCATATTTATCAAATATTACTTCTTCATCATTTTTGCCCAATCATTGCAAAATCAGAAATAATCTGAATATTTCATATATACTTCACTATACACTATTTGCCTCTTAATATGAGATGTTATTAAATCTACTTCAACTGTAAGGATAAAACAAAAATATAATTAAAAATACAATTTAGAACTTAGCATATGTATGCTATATATGATACTGACATATACATGTATAACCAGGTATCAAAGATACACACCTAAATCAATGTTTACTCTGCTACACTATACATGCACACCATTTCCATCTCAGTTTTCTTTCCCAGGAAAAGCAAGCTCTTCTCTCTCTTCAACATTTTGATAGAATGATTTTTTTGATCATTTTAAGATAGATGAACAAAAAACCATGAAGGGGCAAAAAATGTTTTTAAATCAATGTGACTGAGCACAACTATGAAGGCAAAAAGAGTCAGAGACTGAGATACCATTGTTTTCAACATCTTTTATTGCATGGGAAAACTTTTTTTTTCTGCAAGGCACTTATTACTCCTATGAGACTATAAACCAGAAAATATTAAAAAATAATTTCCCCTTAACATAGATTTTAATGAGTCACAGTATGTAATATAATAGATTCATCTTAACATTGGGAACAAAATCTTGAGAAAGTTGTTTATAAAAGTTACACATATAGAAGATGTTTCTTTTAATACTTTAAATAATTAATTCCTAAATATGATACAATAGACAAAGAAAGAATTGATCACTCAAACACTTCCTAAATTGGGAAGTTCATACTTTGCTTATCACTGTGTTTTTCCTCAAGATTTTAAAATTATTTTTTCCACCTATTTCAACAATATTTTTTAATAATCTACTAACACATAAAAGTATTTTGCCCTGAAATCTAATCAGTATAAGCCAACTGTATTAAATAAGTTCCAATTAATTTCATTCTAAGAAAACAAAAAAAATCAAATAGGTAATCTCCAAATTTCTCATAATGCTTACATCAGTTTCTGAAATTCTGCAGAACTGATCCTTTATTCTTGGGAGCCACCAATTTTCAACTCTTTTTCTTGTCTCCAACCCATAGCTTTTTTCCCATTTCCCCGTCTCACTGTAAATAGTTCTCGCACAAGCAGGAACCAGTCTTCTCTGCCATTTAATTAATCCCAGGAAGCCATTTAGTTGTCTCTTCAAACATGAGGAACAAGTGCCAACTCTCTGACAAACCGACTGCATTCTTAAGGTTATGATATCTGAAAAGAAAAAATATGTATTTCAGTCTGCAATATATAACAAGAATTCAGTGATTATGATGATTAGAAAAATAATTGGTAGCTATGAAACATATTTTAGCTTGATTTGAACTTGGCTGTCTTCCATGGCACTTGCATGTTATTCCCCTCTCTGAATTATAAAAGCATGTATTTTTTAGCAGAGAGAACTAACTGTGGCCCTTGCATGGAACAAAACTGTTGTGTGAAGACATCTTATCTAATAAAATACAATTCTTGCACTCAGTCTGCCATAAAAGCCAAATCAGTCGACTGAAGGTTCAAGAAGCTCAGTTGCCTTAACAGAAGATGGCTAACAGGGTGTTAGTAAAAATTCAGAATGAAATAGAGAGAAGAGGAAGTTGGATGAAATTATCCTGTAAAAATACTGAATTTGTCACCACTGAAAAGAGATGGGGGAGGATGACTATAATTAGTAGATTTCAACTAGATATTCTGAACCGACTACTTTGCTAAGGCATTCTCTTTCAACTAAAAATCCAGTTAACTCCTCATATGCTTTAGAGTAAATCTTCTAAAACTACTCAGATGTGAGAAAGATCAAATAGTCCACATATTTGGGGTCAGTCTCAGCAAGATATTTACCAATTTTACTTCTTACAGTAGGAAATACAGCATTAAGAGACCCCTACTCTGAGATTTCTTCCTCATTTTGACCTCTAATTCTTTTAAAAAAAATATTGGGTTTTTTTTAACATCAATATTTCCTGTCCTCTATGGTTGTTTTTTGGTGGGTTTTTTTTCCAAATTTTGGCCAATACACTTGGCTTGTACCAAGCTAGCTATTTCAGTAATTTCATAACTTTCCTTGCAAAGTTACATCACTAAAATCCCTGTGTAGAGAAATTCTGATAAGAAAAGGTTTTACTCGTGCATTTCCCATAAGGTAGCAACATTATCAGTAGAAATAATTGCTATACCACCTAATTCAGACCCCCAGTAAACTAGTGGCAGTTGTACTTCCTTTAACATTCACCATATATGCATACACAAACCCTCACTGCCTGTCTCATTACCTGTCTACAGAATTGCACCTTCCCTCTCTTACTTACCAAGCAGACTCTTCTGAACATTTTTTCACTTACGTCACATCAGTGCTTTGAATTTTTGCTAATCTCTAAAATCTCTCTCATTTGTAGTAACAACAAACCCAGGACTGTACTCAGGATTCCCAGTGCAGGTGCACATGAGTCATTCAGGAGACACCCAATTTCTCCCCCTCCATAACATTACAGTCATCTTAAAATTCGCATATCACTACTTTGCAGTTTTTTGCTTATTTTTATTAATTATTTCCTTACTACTTATGTCTTTCTATTACTTTGATTTAATTTACAACGGAAAGGAGCGCTTCCTTATGCAAGCCACTTTCAGCTTTGATGATTTACAAAATAAGTAGTTTAAAGCACAACAGTTACACATGTATAATGCTTCATTGAAGGGAGATGGAGAGGACATAGTCTCAAGTTGCGCCAGGGGAGGTTTACATTGGACATTAGGAAGAATTTCTTCACAGAAAGCCCATTGGAATGGGCTGCCCAGAGAGGTGGTGGAGTCACTGTGCCTGGCAGTCTTTTAAAAAAGACTAGACTGTGGCACTTGTTTGCTGTAGTCTAGTTGACATGGTGGTGTTCGGTCACAGGCTGAACTTGAGGGTCTCAGAGGTCTTTTCCAATCCAGTTGATTCTGTGACACAGAAAGGACACAGACCTATGCCTGTGCACAGCTCAAGGGAAGCCCACCTGTCAATGTCACGCCTGCCAGGGCTCTTTTGAGTGACCTCAGGCCATACAGGTCACATGAGCAGGGGTCAGAGCATTGAATGTGAGTGGGAAAGTGGCTGCAGCCACAGTCACAGTGCTAGAGCTAAGCTCATTCGAACACACCTAATTCCAGGACGAGAAAGAGACCCACAGTGTCCTTCTCACTCCCAGACACCCCCCCCAACCATAACATGGGATGAACAGCAAATAATGCCATAATCAGCACATCATGCATTAGGCCATGCCAGGACAGAAGACAAGCAAATCCAAAGGATGTGGAACTAAGCTGTTTTCCCTTTCCAGGCTTCTGTGCATGGGACCAAGAGAAGCAGAGTGCCCCTCCCTGCCCCAGCTAAGGGCGTCTCAGCCCAGTGCTGTGTGGGTCTTACAAGGAACAGGTTACAAGCCAAAACTGTCCAACTCCGGCAGGTGTGCGGAGAAGGGAGGAAGGGGCTGGTCTGACAGAGAAAGAAATCATAGAACCATTAAATATCCTGAGCTAGAAAGGACCTACAAGGATCCTCAAAGTCCAACTCCTGCACAGGACACCCCAAGAATCACACCATGTGCCTAAGAGCATTATCCAAACGCTTCTTGAACTCTGCCAGGCGTGGTGCTGTGACCACTTCCCCGGGGAGCCTGTTCCAGTGCACAGCCACCCTCTGGGTGAAGAACCTTTCCCTAATACTTAACCTAAGCCTCCCCTGACCCAGACACCGTTTGAAAAGATGCAGTAACTACACGGTACTGAAAACTGCCTGGCGAAGGCCAGCACATTTCATTCAGCCCTGTGGGGGTGTCCCGCCGCTGGAGAAGCAAGCACGGGGAGCTCCGTGGCAGTTCCCCAGGCGCGGAAGCGCGAGTGACGGCGAGAGGGTCGAGGAGGGGGGAGCTGCGGTGGCACGAGGCCGCCGGGAGAGCAGGCTGGGCGCGGGCAGGGAGACCAATGGATCGGGCGCCGGGAAGCCGCGGGCAGCGGGGGCGGCCCCGGCGGGCGGGGGGCGAGAGGTGCGGCCGGGCGGGGGGGACCGTTACCTGCGCGCGCCCTCCCTCAGCTCCCCCGCTTCGCCGCGGGCGCCGCCATCTTGGTGTCCCGGTGTCGGAGCGGGGCGCAGGCGCCACCTCCTCCTTCGGCACCGCCCGGCGGGGGCGGGAGTTCCGTGAAAGGAAGGAGAAACGGTTCCCACTTCCCGAAGTCTCACGTGGGAACGTAGATCAACAGTAAATTAAAAGAAAATAAATTAATTTACAGGGATTGATCTCTGTATAAGCTGCACAGGTCCTGTTCAGCCTCGAGAAGAGGCGACTGAGAGGGGTTCTCCTTGCGTATAAATATCTAAAGGGTGGGTGCCAAGAGGTTGGAGCCAGGCTCTTCTTGGAGGTGCCAAGCAATAGGACAAGAGGCAACGGGCAGAAACTGATGCACGGGAACTTCCACTTGAATATGAGGAGGAACTTCTTTACCGTGGGGGTGACGGAGCAGTGGAACAGATTGGCCAGAGAGGCTGTGGAGTCTCCCTTACTGGAGATACTCAAGAGCCGCCCGGATGCAGTCCTATGCCATGTGCTCTGGGATGACCCTGCTAGAGCAGGGAGGTTGGACCGGATGACCCAGTGTACTCCCCTCCAACCTGACTGTGTCCGTGTGATTAATCTTGCTCCTCTCCACAGCATATACAGATAGCCTGGGAAGTGACCATATAGTTCAGGGCTAGATTTCAGTAGCTTTTGACTCTCAATAATTTTATTTCCCATCTGTACTTTTTTAAGATGCAGATTCTGAAACGAAGGCATTAATTTTTTTGTGTGCTGTCTTTTTGACTAATGAAAGAAAAAAACAGAGGTCAAGAAAGGCAATCTAGCACAGCATAGTTAATTCTGCCTCTGCCTGGAAAACAACATCTTACCCTGTTGTCAACACTGTGCAGTTCAGAGTTGGTTTTAATTACTGCAAGTAGCTTGTAGTAGCCTCCAAGGAACAAGAAATACTTTTTTTCTTTTCTCTCTCTTTTTTTTTTTTTTTTCCTGGTGGATTGTGCCGATTTTCTGCTGGCAACTGTTGATTGTTTTCATTTTTAGACCTTTTTCTTCACTGCTGTGTTTCCAACAGAGTTTAAATAGACACATTCTGTTTATGCAGTGCAATCCCTAGAAAAGTCAACCTTTTGGTACTAGAGAGGTGGGAGCTTCTTATGTAACTAAAAATAAGTATTTACAGAGTATAAGCTTTCCGCTTGGTTGTGTGTACCTGTCAAGGATGCTTAAAGGATACCTTTTCACCACGAAAATGAACAGAGAGCAGCTTTGACGCTCACCCTGATTATAAACTAGTAGAGTTTCACCACAACTATGCATAATTTTAATTTGCTTTCCTGTTGATCTTCCTTTCAGCAAATGATTGTTACTTTGCTTTATCAGACCTTCCATCCCAAATCTCTCTCTGAGCTGCTGTATGAGTTCCTCGGCTGAGGGAAGATGAGTCATTTTGTTGTGTGGGGGAACAGGGAGGGCAGTCCTTGGCTGAGACCCTTTCCCAGGATAAATGAGAGCTTGTGACCAGCGGGAACATGTTTTCACCTCAAAGGATGATTTCCCTCACACTGGCTGTAACCCCTGTGCTCTCCTGACACGTCTGAGTGAATAAGTGGAAAATTATCCCACAGATGTTAGCAGACTTGCATGAGACCACAGAAAAAAAGTCAGTATCTGATTTTGGAGGAAAGCTTTGGTGTACTTTTGGCCGTCCTCTTGACAGCATTGGACAATTAGTCATTGCCATTTCTGGGACTTACTGCTGACTTGGGATCTTGGTGTTTTTGAAACAGTGATGCCAAACAGTTAGTGCTTAATAGCTAAACATCTCACTACTACTTCTACCATGAATAAGCCAATAAATAAGCCCAAATGGCAAGTAACAATGTATGTCTGGATTATTTTTGATCTTCATGAATTTTCATACTAGTCAGAATACTTTTGCTCTTCTTTCCTTCTGAATATGTTTCTATTTGGTCTCAGTTTTTCTCACCTAGTTTCGGTTTCTGTTTACAGAAAATCTTGCAGCTTATTTAGCTTCATTTGATACTGGTTGTCTTCCTCACTATTAGAATCCAGACTGCACAATAAGTGCCAATATAATCAGTGGAAAGGGACACAAGATTTTTGTATATTCTCAGGGTAAATCCCCAGTCATATCTTGACAGAAGTCAACATGTTCTGAGTAACACACTTCAAACCTGTGTCAAATATGCTTGGCTTGTATTTGTTAGCAGATAACGAAAATCATACCAGCCAGTCCTTCCAGAAGAAAACAAGGAATAATAGAAAATGGTTTGGTTTGGGGTTTTATTTTTCTCTCGTTTATTTTTAATATTTTATATTAAATGTTTCATTTAATATTAACATTTTGCACCATTTTGCACCCGTAGCCAAGACTTGGTACAATACTTGGTTTATAAACCCCTCCCAGAAGTACCCATTTCATCAGAATCACAAGCTACATCTGAGTTTAACCAAGCTCAGTTTGGATTGTTGGTTAATGTGGTGAACAGAGAAGAGCTGGAGGCTCCAGATGGGCCTAAACCTGAATGTTCCTCAGGTATGACAGATCTACTTTTGTGTATAGCATCTATCTAACTTTCTAGGAAGCATTTAGGATTGTGATTAATTTAGTATTAGTCTAAACAGATTATCCTCATCTTCAAGCAAATCAAATACATAAGTAGATTGTCAGGGTCAGAAAGCAATATTTTAGTGAAATGAATGGATTAAAAAGATAAGACAAAGGTCTAGCTGCTCAATCAACTGTAATCTTGATGGCAGAGCTTGAGAAATGTAGGTCAATATGTTTAATGTTAGATAATTCAACAGTCCAGAGATTGAAATGTATTTAAAAGAATCATAACTAAATTTTAGGCAGTGATTGGACTTTCAAAATGTTTTCAAGACAACATAAAATAATTGTCTCAATATTTTGCTACTTCCGCTTAGTCTGAGGTCTATGGTGATGTTCTCAGTTGAGGTGAAGAGCACTACACACACAAAGTAAAGAGGTTTTCATTTGCAAGCAAAGACTGTCTACTGTTTGACATCAGGTCCCTTCTCTTTGGAGGTGGGAAACTCTCGGGTTCCTGAGCTGAATCCTGCAGAAATCATGAATCAGAACTGTGAGCTGCACAGCCCACCATATGAATGAAAATTAAATTCAACAACACCTTGTAGCTCAGGCAGGGGTTGGAGACACCACTCACTCATCTATCTCTCCCTTATTAGCCAGTAACCCTGCATGGTGCAGAGAGCAAGGGACACAAGGCCTCAAATGGCTCAGACTTTTCCAAACAGGGTACCTCCCCCACTATCCTATGATACCCACCTTCCCCACGTGGAGTTTTGCTTCCTAACCTGGGCTGTTTGCTCAGTCTCCTTTCATTGTGAGAAATTAATGATATAGTGACATTTGTATTTGCCTTAATAGCAGTAAACTATTTTCCATATGGCTGATACTCTCTTGATTTCTCTTTTAGACTTCACACTAATTTGTTTGTTAGCGTTTTTGTTAATCCACACTGTTAAGCCTGAGGTTGATTGAGTAATCAGGTAATTCATTAGTTCCTGTATGGGAAATGTGCAGAAGTGCCCCAGCTGTCTGTTACTTAAATAGAAAGGCTTCCCACTTTTCCATACAAGTATAATTTTGCTTTTGCTGGTAGTTACCGGAATTGATGTTTGTGTTTCCTGGCATTTCTCTTTTGCTCCTACATCAACAACGTGACTAGTATTTTTTCAACCTCCTACAAAAAAAGAATTAAACTCCAGCATTTGGAATACAAAATAATTTTTATTGCCTTCATACATCATATCCCCGCACCATTTCACGTAATTAAAAAGTTTGCTTGGTTATTTTTTCCCACTAAACTCTTTGAGTGTTGCTTTTGCTTCTGAGTTTCATTTTGCCACTGTTTATATATACGTGCATTTAGTGGTTTTGCTTTAAACCACAAAGTCAGATAAAAAGTGCAGGTGATTGGATTGCAGGGAAGAATATCACTTGAGAATACAAAAAATCAAGTAATTAATGGACCAAATGTAAGAAAAACCCTCTCAAACCATATCCACCACTTAAGCCCAGATCTCAAAGGGAAGAATTCCAAGTGACCTTATGAAGATAATAGAAGCTTCGCTTTTGCAATAGATTTTGTTTTACAAGCTCTCAAATATTTTGGTAGTGGAAGAACAAACTCTTGAAACAGATAGAAGGTAGAATATACCTTTGGGATAGAAAAGAACAGATTTGAGCAAGACTGGTTGCATTACTAGGAGTGGAGCTTAACCTGTATGTTGTGAGTTATGTTAACTCGTTAACAGGTATTACCTGATACGATTGACACCCGCTTCAGCTGGGGACTGGCCTTGATTGACAGTGGGTTCTTGTCATCCAAACCAACACACGTTCGTCAATCCTTGGTTTGGCAAAATGAAAAAGAATTTACACAACGCATCAGTGGAAGAAGAGATCAGCTATATGAAAGTCAGCAACCTGCTCACCCTATCCAGGGGTCTGTACTCGGTCACCAGGATGGCCCTGTCTGGTTGGAAAATACTTGTGCCTGTCCCTGTGCCACTCTATTAAACCACTGAATGATATGGAAGAATTTTGAAAACATTCAAGATCCAGACTAAGTGGAATCATATTTACCAGCATTGTTTTAGCAGGCTGACATTGGTCCCTAAGCCTGCAGCTGGAACATGGGACTGAGTCCTTTCTGAGACCTAAGTGAGCCTAATTCTGACGAGATTTTATGTAGCACTTGTATTGTGTTGGGTGTTTGCAGAAGGGTGCATCTAACCCCAAATGCACATCCTCCATGTTCTACAGAAAGGTATTAGACCAGTGACAGCAGCTTATTACTGATTAAGACTAAAGTGTGTGAGTAGGTGTCTGCATGTAGGTGGGGAGAAGTTGTCAGAGTCAATACACATCTGCTTT